ACCACTTCCCTCACCAGATACTTTATCTCGGGCTGAGACATCTTTCTCTGGCTGTGCTGTGGCTGGGATGACCAGCAGGCTTTGCTGTTGAGAGAGAAGCAGATGGTCCTCTTCAAACTCAAGCATATTTCCATCTTCCAGTAACTCTGTGGTCTATGTAACAAATGCTCCCTGAGTCATCTTCTCTCTATTGTCATTGTTTCTGCAGAAAACAACCCCCCTCCAGGGCAGGAAGCCACAGGAGCCTCCAACAAAGACAAGGTGGCAGGAAAAGTGGAGCCAGGTCATGCCAGCCTCAAGCCTTCCCTAGTCAAGAAAGCCCTGGCCGTGAAAGAGAATGATGTCGGGGCAAAAGGGGTGCAAGTGACCCCCGCATCATCTGCAGTGTTCTCCGTCCCACAATCAGAGGAGTCAAGCTCAGGGAGCGAAACTGAGGTCACCACTGCTGCCAAAGTTCCTGCAGTGCAAACACTGAAAGCGTCAGAAGAGAAGAAGAAGAAGAAAAAGGAGAAAAAAGAAAAGAAGGAAAAGAAGAAATCTTCCTCCACAGCAGACAAGGCCGTGAAAACATCAAAGAGCAAAGACAAAGAGAATAAGAAGCAGAAAACGTCTCAGAAGCGGAAACTGCCAGGAGAGGATGGGGCTGCTGGGCAGCCCAAGGAGAAGAAGCGGAAAGGGCAAGCTAATGAAGAAGTACCCAAAAAGAAAAAGAAGAAAGCGGCTGGTGACCTGGAGAAGTTGCCAGGCAGCAAGGAAAAGAAAAAATCAGCTAAAAGTAAGCACCCCTCACTTGGATCTGCGTTTGCAATAGGTTCTTAAAGCTGATGTGTGTTCAGCCTCTGGTTCGAGGCCCTGTAAGTAGCACCCACTTTCCCGTTGGCTTCCTGCTCGGCTGCTTCCCTCTTAGCCCACCTGAAGCCAGTGCCAGATTTTTAACACCCCACTTCGATGTTTTTCTGCAGTCTCAGCACTGGGTGGTGTTGCAGACAGCAGGCTGGGTGCTCCTGCCCCTCTGTCCTGCTCTGGCACTCTGGGAACTGCGTTAATACTCGCTCTGCTCCTTGCTGCCTGCAGAGCAAGCTGCTGTCCCCGTGTGTATTCTATGGCATGACCTGTCCCTCCAGGGCTTTCTCCTTTCCTGGCCGTTACCCTGGCTGGAAGCAGCTGTGTAGCTGAGGGCTGGCAAAGGGTTGAGGTGAGTCTGCCTTGAACCTCCTGAGGCCTCTCTGCCTGGCTCTGCTGGGCTTGGAAGAGTTCTTGCTGGTTGTAAGCCACAAGGTCTGTGTTCTGCCTGGTGTCCTGCCCTGTGGCTGTGGAGCAGAACAGCTCTGCCAACCCAGCTGGCTGCCCTGGCTCCTCTATGGCAAACAAAACCTGTGCTAGCAGAGAGCCAAGGTGAAATGTGGCTGAGGAATGGCAGGCAGAAGGTCCTGTGGACATGGCAGAGGAGGCCCAGAGTTCTCATGCGCAGGGTTTTGTGTTAGTCAGAGCTTCCTGAACATGGCCCCTTGCTGCCAGCATCTTTAGAAGAGATCAGCCTTGAAATCTGCGCTGTCGTCTGCCGTGTCAGCCCCCGCTGTTCCCCGTGGGGTGACAGTGCCCCTTCCTGACCTTGCCTGATCAGTGGCTGTGCTGCCACGTGGTGAGCAGCTCATTCAACTCATTCAAGAGCTTTGACTCGGGGCTATCACTGCTGTTTTCAAACCCCTGGAGAAAAGAGGAGGATGCTCCCAATTAAGAGTGTTTCCTGCCCCTCTTGTTTTGAAGTGCTCTGTTTGCTGCCCTAATGCAAAGGCAGTTATTTTCCCTTGCAGTGCAGACTGACTGCATTTGCAAATCGGAGCGAGTTCTGTTCTGGATCTTGTAGGCTTTGGGAGATGGAGATGGCAGATCCGGCCCTCCCATCTCCAGGATTTCTGTTCCAGAGATGCAGCCCTTCATCTTGGAGGAGGCAGGTTTGCCTGTCAGCCCTTTGGGGGCTGTTGCACAGGGGTGAGCTGTAGCCTCTTGGAGCAGTTTGTGCTGTGTCCATCCTGTGTTAGTAGCTCCTCTTGCTCTGATTCCTGGCACGTGCCTGGCTACTCCAGCACTGGAGCAGTTCCTCGGAGTGGGTGGGCAGCAGGAGGTGGAAAGAAGGGGCTCCAATGTAATTCTGCCTACATGTGTGCATGGATGGTGGGATCAAGCTGCTCTGGATCAGAGATACCGGAGAAACAGCCCTGGGTGCAGCTGCCTTGTAGCTGGAAAGAAGGGGCTCCAATGTAATTCTGCCCACATGTGTGTATGGATGGTGGGATCAAGCTGCTCCAGATCAGAGATACTGGAGAAAAAGCCCTGGGTGCAGCTGCCTTGTATGTAGTAGGGCTCTGTCCTCACACAGTTACTGCTCTGGAAAGCTTTCTCATGTTTGGAAGTGATCAAAAACTTACTGGAGATGTTCCTACCACTCTGTACTCCATCTCAGAGGTGTGCAATACCACAGTCCCTCTCTTAGTGGCATTTTCTTTCCCCTCTCCCAGAAAAAAAGACTGGAAAAGAAAAGAAGAAGAGCAAAAAGGGGCCTTCAGAAGGGGAGCCTATAGCAGATGGCTCTGCTGAGGTTCACAAGAAGAAGAAGAAGGTATGTGCAAGAACCTGGGGTTGGGGTACCATGGGGAGAGCTGGTCTGAACCATGGTGGTGATGCTCATCCCTGCAGGCTGGTGAGGAGCAGAGCTATGTCCTGGCCTTGCTGGCCATACAGAGGAGGCTGCAGTTCATTGTGGCCAGTCTTGAGGCACCCTGACCTTGGGTTGGTTGGGATTGGGGTGCCTCGAAGAAGGGCTTATTCCACTATTGCTCCCCCAGGAGAGATCCCTTTCCCTGGAAGGGTCAAACCCAGGGGCCCTTTTGGTGGCAGAGAACCTGCCCATGGAGTAAGTGCTGCTCTTCAGCTGTCTGTTCATCTAGTTTCCAGCAGAAACTGGAGCTCCTGAGGGCTTGGCAGGCTACTGCATCCCATCCCAAGGGCAGAGGGTAGACTACAGAGTGTTCTTTTTAATGGCTGTGTCCTTGAGGAGATGGTAGCCAGGATGCCCTTGAGGCTTTGTTGGGTCCTTCATGTTTGTGGTGCGGATGATACTGATTTTATTTTTCACCCTTTTCTTTTTAGAAGAAGAAAACAGCTGAGCCCGAAGGATTGTGAGAGAAGGTACATGGCCTGTGGGGGCTGTCAGTTGGTACCTCTGAACGGCGGTAACCTTGGCCAAATTCAGTACTGCTGGGCCAGTCTGGGGAAGACAATGTGCCCTCTAAATGCTCGCTGAGTCAGCCTGGCCATAGATTAGAGGGCCAGGGAGTGGAGCGGTGTAAGGAAGGTCACACAGCAGCGTGCTGGCTTCTCTTGGATGTGTTTGACCTCAACTCTGTAGCTGCTGAGAACTGGATGTCCAGCCTGGATGTTGCTGTCCTCTGTCATCAGCAGAGATAAGCGGCCTCTGGCAGTGTCTCTCTGTCCCTGCTGACCACAGGGAGCTTGGAAAAGTGATGTGGAGTAGATGGTGATGTTGTAGCCACCTGGAAACGGACCAGATGCCTCTGCCCCTGCTCTGCTCAGCTCTAAGGCTGGTATCCTCCTCCCCACCCCTAACTCTTTTAACTCCTCTCCCCAAAGGTACCGCATTCCTGTGATTAAGGATTTATGGGTGAAGATCAAACAGAAGAGAGGAAAAGGAAGCCCATCTTGAGAATTCCAACTTTTCTTTTTTTAAAGTAGTTTATAACTTCTTTTAACTGTGACTTTTAGAGCAGAGCAGTGTAACTTTCTGCCTCCTCCTGCCCTGCTGGGACTCAGAGATGTGTTTTATTGCCCCTCCTGATGGCTCACCTGTTGCACAGGAACTGAACTGAAGGAGGCAGTTTGACCAGAGAAGAGCCAGGTTGCATAAGCTGCTTTCCTCCTAGTTGACACCCAGCCATCTCTTCCCCTCTCTCATCACAGAGATATATTTTTAAGAGAAACTTTTACTTGTTTTGTTGGTTTTTTTTTCCTTCCCTCCCCTTTCTGTGATTTGTGGTGTCAGTCCTTTTGCTACTACAGAAGAGAGCTCTCGGGTTTACTTTTTATTCTAACCCTGAGGGCAGTGGTTATTGTTTCCCTGGAGTTGCACTGAACGGCTGTGTCCGGCAGCTGTTCTCAGCCAAGGCGGCACAAGTTTTTGTGGGTTTTTTTATGGAATACAAAATAAATATATTAAAAAAAAAAAAAGGGGAGTGAGATTTTGCTTCAGCTGCGTCTAAGGGAGGAAGGAAGGTAAGAAGCCCTTCGGTTCAGGACCCAAACCCAGGGCAGGGCTCAGTTGGCTCTGGAAAGTTCATAGCCACTGACTGTTTCAAGCCCTGGGGAAGAAATAACTGTTTTCTGCCCGCTCCCCAAGGAAGAGCAGATGCTGTTGCTCCTCAGCTTTGACCTGCATGTTCTTCTAGAGTTGGTTTGTGTGTTTTTCATTACTAAAATGCTGTGTAAGGGCAGTGCTAAGAGCAGGTTTGTGCATCACCTGCTGCCTCTGGCTGGGTTCCTCGCTTTTTCCCAGCCTTGGGTTTTGGCAGGTGAGGAAAAGGGAGCAGATCCCCTTGTGCTCCTCCCTCCCAGGCTGTGCAGCCTGGCTCTGGGCTTTGCTGGCCACAGCACAGCTCCTGGTTGCCACCCTCCTATCTGCACAACCCGGCTGCAGGGGGGAGATGGCTATGGCACAGGGGGCTGCTCTCCTCTGCCCCCAGGCTCCGTGACTCCCTTAGAGGTGATTTCAGCCTCCCGAGCTGTGCAGGGGGACCCAGGGTGTACACACAGAACATGTGATGGGCCAGGAATGGGGCAAGGAATCCTGGGTGGGGGCACAGATGTCCGAGTGTCTGCAGAGATTTTTTCTTTTTTTCCCTTTTTTCTTAAGATCAGTTTATTTTTAACCTAGGACAGCTGCAAAGTGTTTGCCAGCACTGCCCTGCTGGAGTTGCTTACAAGGCTTTCTTATTCAGAAGTTTATTTGAAATAATTTGGCTTGTGAGATCATCTTATGAAGGAACTATCAGATACATTTAGGAAAATTGGAAGCCCCTCTGCCTCCAGGGTCAGATCCTCTGCCCACTGTTCCCCACTGCTGCGGCTGTTCTCCAGCCTGAAGGCAAAAGCTGAAGGTGAGCATCTCTTCTCTACAAAACTGAGCACTCCACAAGAAAAACTCTCTCTCCCAGTAATTTCCTAGGGCTTCCACCTACAGGGGTCAGTTAAGAAGCTGGTGGAGGTGGTTTTGCTGCCTTTAATGTTTGTTCAGTGTAAGAAAGCGTTAGTGGCTCGTTCTTCAGCAGGGGTGAGCGGTGCTGCGGGGGCCAGGGAGCGAAAGGGAACAGGGCTGTGCGTCTGACATCGCCGAAAATCATTTCCCAGCCTGTTTTACCCACCCTCTGAGGAAACGCTTGGTCTCCAGCACTGATCCTGGTGGCATCTCAGCCCTGTCTGGTGGCCTTGCAGCAGGGGAAGGAAGGGGCCCAACCCGTGTCTAGAGGGGCAGGAGCGCGCAGGGGTGCCCGCTGTTAATCGTCTCAGGAAAGCGACGTAAGAGCAGAAATGATACAGAGCAAAAAAAAAATTAGACCACAGGAGCTGGGATGCTGACGAGGAGACAGGCATCCACTGGTGTCCTCTTCTACTCTGTGACTGCTGGGGGGAGAAGAAGAGGAGGGAGTCAGTAAGATGGCTCCAGGACCTCCTGAAGCCCAGGCTGCTTTTGCTGTGTCTCCATCACCAGCTCCCCAGCAGTGCTTTTCATAGAATCATAGAGGTTGGAAGAGACCCTTGGGATCATCGAGTCCAACCATCTACCCTACTCTACAAAGTCCTCCCCTACACCATATCCCTCAGTACTTTTGTGCTGCCCTGGCTCTTGGGGCTGGACCTGTGCCCCACCACCACCACCTCCAAGCACTGAGGGCTTTCCCCAACACCCCCAGGACAAGACTTGGCCTCTCACCTTTCTCCGCCCCCAGCTTGAGCATGTCCACCCCGGAGAACATCATCTCCTCCGGCTCTGCCGTGGCAGCGGTGGTGTCTGTGGGAGGAGGGCAGGAGATGGGTGCTGGACCCCTGGGGCTGCCCCATGGCCCCCCACCCCTCTAAGGGCAGCGGGGGAGAGCCTGTGCCTACCCACGGGTCAGGGGAAAACCTTGACTGTGCACCTCTGCTCTTCACTGCAGCTCCCCAAGGAGGGCTGGGGGGTTTAGGGTCCCCTCCAGCCTTAACGTGGGGAACAAAGTGGGGTGAGGGATGTTCTCTACATCTTGGGCACCCTCCTTTCCTCTCCTCTCCCTGGCAGTTCTCCCTGATGGCAAGCAAAACAGGGAACAGCATCCATGCGTGCTGCTTGTTCCTCTTCTTCCCCACCCTGGCGACCTACCAGGGCAGTCCAGCTTTTCCCGAGTGGCAGTGCCCTCAATCCTGGTGCCATTTTTGTAGGAGCACCAGCAGTAGCCCGTGGAGGCATTGCACTGCTTGGGCAGGTAGTCGCCGTTCTCATCGCACTGGGGGCGGAAGTGACCCGGCCGGACACCCCCAAAATTGGCCTCCGCCTGGCACTTAGTTTGCACTAAGGGCAATAAAAACAAAGGGGAGACACCGTGAGCCCCCCCTTGGGCCCTTCTGTCACCCGGCAGCCCCGGTGGGAGCTTTGTATCCAGAAGCAGCTGAATTAAACACAAAAGGAGAACAAGCCCCATCCCTGTGACCTTTCTAAAGCTCTTGGGCTATTCAAGGACCGAGGATTTGGTGTGATGTTCTGGCTTCTCAGACATTTCCTCAACCCAAATGCCCTGCGGGCACCAGCTCTGAGATGTCCTAAAGGCCACCAACCACAGTCCCCACCAAACAGGTGCCCCATGGGATGAAGAGGTCCATGACCAGTCAGGGGATGGAGGGTTTGGTGGCCTTTGGGATGCCCCGTGCTGGCACCTCCTGGCGGGTGGTTGCTCCCGAAGGGCCAGTCCTAACCCTCCCCAGCTCAGCAGCCCCATCCCTGATACCTTTCTCCGCCGGGATGGCCTTATGCTCCTCCACCTTGGGGTTCTTGGCCATTTCGAACAGCAGCCACTTGTGCATCCAGGACTCAAAGGCCTGCAACAAGGGGAACCAGCGTGTTAACCCACATTGGGGGGGTTGCACCACAGGGGAGCCATGCTTTGAGCTCCAGCTTGGGCCAAGGAAGGTTGTGAGCACCACCATCTTCCTTGGGGTGGGAGTAACCCAAGCCTGGCTCAGGCAGGACTTTGTTTTTCCAGGTGGGGACACCCCAGTCCCTCCCCAAAGCAGGGTGCTCCTGGAAGGGAACGAGTAGGACGGCAGCCAAACACTGACCTTCCAGTCCACATCAGTCATGGTGCTCTTCAGGCGCTTCAGGTTGTCCATCAGGTTGTCCTTCAGCTCCGGGAACATCTTCATGGGGTCTCCTTGCTGCAAAGTGATCACCATGATGAGACAGGGCAAAGAATAAACGAGGCAGGAGGGGAGAAGTTCTGCTTATATCAGCCAGATGGACATTGCAGGAGGCCAGGAGCTCCCCAGGAGACTCCAGACCCAGCCAAGAGACAGCTTGGAGCTGGAAGCAGAGGGGTCCCATGACCAGGGGGCAGCTGTGGGGTGGGAGGGAGAGTGGGGGACCTTACCAGCAGGATGTGCTTCACTTGGTCCTCAGTCTTGTTGCTAGCGGGGGCCATGCCCTTGAGAGAAAAGGCAAAGGGGCAGCGTGAGGGCTGGCAGCAGACCCTGGGGACACCTGGCAGCGGCCAGTGCCACAATGCCATGGGCATCTCTTACCATGTTGCCTGCAGAGGGGGCAAGAGGCAGGACCCTCATGGCCAGGGGCGTGTTCACCATGGCCATCTTCATCTTGTTCACCGGCTTGGCACCTGCCGAGGAAGGAGCAGAAGGAGGGGTGTTGAGTTGAGTGGTCCAGGGGAGGACCTGTCCCCTCTCCCCGGCCACCCCCACGCTGGTGCCCATGGGGCTACTGACTGGCGGGCAGCTTCTTTTGCAACGCCTCCAGCTGTAGGGTCTGGGAGGTCTTGGTCAGCTTGCTGATCTGCCCGCTCTGCTGGTAGACGAAGTAGACGGTGACAGCCTGGCCGGCGATCAGCAGGGCCACCAGGATGGAGAGTGTGGAGAAGGCAGCTTTGCGGCCCAATGAGGACCTGCAGGACACGGAGAGGGAGCTCAGCCCCAGCCACCGGTGGCAGGAGATGCCTTCGTACCCTGCCATCGCTGCCCACCCCCCCAAAAAAACCCCCTTCTGCACCCATCACCCCCCGGCGCCTCCCCAAACACCTCCCTCCCGGGGGGGTTTGCAGCCAGACAAATGCAAATTCCCCCCGTGGTGGGGTGGAGAAGTGAAATCTCAGCGTGAAGGTCATTCCTCCCCACTGAGGGAAGTGAAACCCACTGCGGGGGCGAGGCGGGGGGGGGCACTGGAGGGTACCCGAGGAGCATGCGGACACAGGGGGGCTGCGGGCAGGGGATTTGGGGGCACAGCATCGCTCCGGGCATTGCCTTTTGGAAGCACCTGAAGCCTCGCTGGTCCTGGTGGAGCAGAGGAATATCCCATGGGATGCCAGACTGCACTTAATTTGTAAAATTTGGTGCAAAAAGCCAAGGTGGGGGCACCCCCGAGCGCGCAGGCAGCAGCAGGGGGGTGTCACAGCGCTGCCACCGCACTGGGACACCGAGGGGAGGCAAAGCCAAGCAGCGTGTGGCCGCCTGCCGTCCTGCCGGGGCCAGATCCCGGCCCCCCCGGGGCAGACGGGGTGCTGCGGTGCCCCACGGAGCCCCCAGCTGCCCCCCCTGCCCCCCGAATCGGGAGCACCCATGGGTGCTGCCCGGCTGCCACCGCGGCTGCAGGCAATGTCCCGAGCGGGGACTCGCCGCCCGCACGTCTGCCTGGCGACTGATGATGTCAGAGGCTTCCGCGCTTCTGATTGGCTGGAAGTATTTGGGCGGGGCGCCCCCCCCTCCCCAAGGGCGTTGGGGGGGCTGGTTGGGACATGGGGGGCTGGTTGGGACATGGGGGGTGGCCCCACAAAGCCGTCTGGACTGTGGGTCCTCTCTGCCTGCCCCATAGCCATCCTCTGTCCCGCCTGCCCCACAGCCCCATCCACCCCATAGACACATCCTGAGCCTGCCCCATAGCCATATTGTGCCACAGCCACCCCACAGCCGCACCTTGACCCCCCCCTGCCCCATAGACACGTTGTGCCCCATCCACCCCACAGCCATATTGTGCCCCATCCGCCCCATAGCCATATGGTGCCCCATCCACCCCACAGCCACACCTTGAGCCTGCCTGCCCCATAGCCATATGGTGCCCCGTCCGCCCCATAGATGTGAAATAGAAATTCTGCCCCATAGAAATGTCTGCCCCATCGATGTGCCTTGCCCTCATCTGCCACACCATGAACCTGGCCACCCCACAGCCACACCATGTCCCCATCCGCCCCAGAGATACAGTGACCCCCTCCCTCCACCCCATAGCCACCCTCTGCCCCTGCCTGCCCCACAACCATGCTCTGACCCCTTCCGCCCCATAGTCGCACCACGTCCCCCTTGGCTCCACAGTGCCCCATAGCCACAGCGTGACCCCCACCTTCTGCCCCA